TTTGTAGATTTTTAGTAGATTATGAAAAAGCAAGTTCAATACTGTTTATTTTGATTATTATTATTATAATTAAAAAAAAAAAAAGATTTTCAAAAGGCAGCAAAATATCACGTTAACTCGTTCGCCACACATATGAATTGATCGACAAAGGAGTTCCAATTTTTCTAGATTCGATTTCCAAATTTGGTAATAATCCTGACTGTAATGCTGTGACCCGAAACAGAAATCAGCCTAGGGTAATTTTATGGTGTGTTTTAGGCTTAAGTTTAGTGTAGGTTCTCTCTCCCGAAACTGTTTAGGGAATTCAAAAAAGATTAAAGTCACAACATTGATTCCGAATTTCGATTTTTGCAAGGGCATCTCGATTTCAAAAATTGATATCATGTATGCATGCACAAACCTGTCGCATTTGGTCGCTTTCTCAACAATTACCATAAAGCTATACCCATATGAAGGCTTATAATATTTTACATCTTCTCAATCGCTCATCAAGTTTATATTGAAAAAAAATATTAGTTTTGAAGTGATAATTAATGATGCTTTGAATAATTATAGCTTTACATAAATAGCCTCTTTAGATAGAGAAGCCATTTCAAATTCAGAACAAAGGCTTTACGGCTCAAATTCGAATATCAAATATTAAGAAGGAAAGGGCATTCCGTAATCTATCGTCGGATCACTATGCCAGAATTACCTTTAACCTATAATGGTTTTTATATAATATGTTAGAAGGGCATTTAATTAGATAATGATATTTGAATTCATTATATAAAGTTTGTTACACAATTTGCAATTTATATTTTACACATAGAATTCGTAAAATTCTATATTATTAGTATACGCTGATGTGTATCGTTTGGGGTGTGTGAAATAAATTTTATATTTTCATTTTAATATTGAAGTCTTCAAAAGAAGAAAGAAAGGGTAGGTAGGTAGATAAAGAAGAGTGAATTGACAAAACATTTTTACAAAATTCAAGCAATTTCCTGATTTCGAAATAAATAAATATATATGGTTAAATATATTTGGTTGTAGAATTTGAACCCAGTCTTTCGATAAATGTAATACATTAAGAAAATTAAAGGCAAATATTTCCCAAAATAAATAATTTATCACTCTAGTTGTAACGATAAAAAAATGAATAGATAGATGCAAAGACTATTATCATTATACAATTGCAATTTTTTGATTGTCTTCATATGTTTCTTCTATTATTAAATTATCAACATCATCAACATTAGCATCACTATCATCGTAATATCCGTCATCTTTCTCAAAATCACTACTAAATCTTTTTGTATCGTTGTCAGCTGAATTGTTCTTCTTATTCTTCTCAAGTCTATTGACTGCTTGTACTGCCCCGACTGCTTTACGAAATGTTTTACGAGCATTGAAATTCTCCATAATATCTCCAAACAAATCTATATCTGATGTACTTTTACCCGTCAACCATTTATGATGCAATGCTTCTTCTGCTGTAGGTCGTTTGTTTGGATTCAATCTTAACAAATCAAGAATGAAATCTTGGGCTAATGTTTAAAATTAAAGAAATTGATTGTTAAAATACATGCGTACGAAAAATTTATGAATTAGAATAATTACCATCCTCTGAAACATGTTTCCAATGACGTGGTTCAAATTTTATGCGTGCTGTTGTCACTTCTTGAAAAAGTGTTGCATGATCCTCTGAACGAAATGGTGGATAACCACATAATCTGTCAATTAAACAACATTCATTTAAGAATTTCAAAAACCAAATTCCTTTGAAAAAATAAATTTAAATATAATTATAATATGTCTACATACAAATAATATGTTATGACTCTGTCAATGAGATTAAAAAAATTAAATCATTATATTAATTATTTTATTATAATATATAGTTCACCAATAAGAAATGCATACCCAATACTCCAAATATCTACTGATTTTGAATATGTCATTCTTTTATGAATTTCTGGTGCTATTTATAATAAATATTAAAATTATTCATTATAATATTACTTGATTAACAATAATCGAATATTTATGATTAATTACCTGCATAGGCATAAGAACCACAATGTGTGGACATGATATCGTTTTCATGATCTATAATTTTTGATATACTTTATTAATGAATAATGATAATAAATAATAATGATGATGAAATTAATTATTTAAAATTATTTATTAAGCATAGTAATAATAATAATAATAATTATTACCCAAAATCAGCAAGAACAAGTGGTGAATCTTTTGATTTATTTTTATATAATAAGTTTTCAGGCTTTAAATCTAAAAACAAATTCAATTAATAAATTATGCAGATAAATGGATATATTTTAAAATATTTAAGTATTAATTTATCATTACCTCGATGTACAATATTATGTTCATGAAGATATTTGACAGCTCCAAGTATAGTCTTGAGAATTTCTATAGCATCAGATTCTGTAAATTTGCCAACATCAATCAATCTTTCAAATAATTCTCCACCTGTCGCACTTAATAAGGAATAATAGCGGGTAGAGTTGTAGTAGTAGATGATAATGATAATGATGATGATAATGATGATGATGATGGTGATGATGATGATAACAATAATAATCAATTAATCGGTTAATTGGTGAGGATACAGTTCAAATACCAGATAGTATTTATCTCTTGATTCGAACCAATCATAAAATTTCACAATATTAGGATGGTCTAGTTTGGATAATATTTCCATTTCTTTGTAAACCATGGCTTCTTGATTCCTTACTTTACGTTTTTGAATAACTTTTATCGCAACTCTATGGCCTGTAGTTGTTTTTACTGCTTCTTTTACTGACGCATAAGCTCCTGAACCTAAAGATATCATTTAAATAAAAACAATTAAATTTAATCGATTAATTAATATATATAATAGTGATGATGATATGAATGGAATTCACGTACCTAATGTTTTTCCAATTTTATAATATTTCTAATAAATAGTTTTGAAAAAAAAGTAGTTATCATTATTACTATTTTTGCAATTTTTTTCATTTATTGTTAATTCTTACTTTTTTTTCATGAGATTCTGGTTGTGGTAGTCTATGAAGCGCTGAATCAATAAAATTTTTCACATCCATTTTTTTATTAGCTTTTTATTTTTTTATTTTAAAAAAAAAAGAAAATTTTATATAAATTGACATAATGGATTGTCGAACGTGAATGAAGAATAATAATTTTGTATTACTATTACATCTTACAAATACACACAAAACAAACTTAATATTAATTAAATAAAATTTTCAAAAAATAAAAAATAAAAAAAAAACAACTATGATGAACTTCGAAGTTTCTATTACCATTGTAATCGGCAGCTCTACGAATTTCGCATGCTACAACTATATATTAATATATATAATTTATACCCGCTTTGCAATTCTCCACAATAATCACAAAGTATCTAACATTGCCATTTCCATCTTGTTTAGGTAATTAAGGTTGAATACCGAAATTAAGAAAAAACAATGACGCAATCAATATATATTGATTTGTTGAACATTCACTTGCAAATTTTAATAGCAAACTATGGATTTTAGTAATTGCTGCGTCCGAGTTTACATGGTGATTTATATTTATTATTATACACAATGTAAATAAAACCAAATGTAATTGCTGGCAAAATTTTATTTTTTGATATCTAAAATAAAACGCGCCCAACGGGGGGATCGAACCCCCAACCTTGAGATTAAGAGTCTCACGCTCTACCAATTGAGCTAGCCGGGCTAATTCAGAAGAATTTTCTTTTTTTAAGGTTCTAAAAATTTCTATAATTTCACAGTAAAATTTCTAGAAGCTCAAACGTTTTAATTTCTTTTTTGATATATAGTCTACCTGATTGCCGTCTTCAAAATTACGTTTTTTCTTTTATATTTGAATCTTAATTTAATTTATTTCTTCAACTTTTTACATCATCATTCTTCTTTCCACTTTTAGAATTATGAAAGCAAGCAAAGATCTACAAGATCGCCTGACAATACCTGTTTTTAATATATACCAAGTATAAAATTTTATTTAGTCATCACCCACTTGCACATTATTTAAATATTAAACACGATATAATAAATCCATGTCTATGAAGAAGGTAATAAGTGGATCAAATAGAAAAGTTCCTTTCTGATTAAACGAGGACAACAAGTTCCGAGCCCTGTAACGTTATTTATTTTTAAAATAAGTAAAATATTTTAATTAACCAAAGATTAGATGTAGGCAGAAAACATCCAATGAAAAAGGCCCTTTACAAATAAGCTTGTACGTGAGATACATAGTAGATTTTTTAACAAAAAAAAAGATAATAACGACAGAGATACTTTAGATTATCAAGACAAAAAAAGAAAAAGTCTCAAATTGGACACAATATTATTAGATATTTCGTGTATATGATCAGCAACAAGATGTTGTTAATTTGTAGCCTAGATGATTTTTTCTTAACATTGCTAAAGCTGGTTTTTTGAGCACCTGTCACATAATGTGTCTAGTCTTGGTGCATCTGCCTAACAACTCTAATAGAGGTTCACTAAATTGGGTGGAAGGAGCAGTAGTTGAATATGAGGACTAAGTTGGGGTTGGAATTGTGTGGACTCGGGACTGGAGTTACGAAACATTGGTTATGGTAAAGATTAATTCATGCTGATTATGAGTGAATATCATATCTAATATTTCCAAAAAGAATTGCAATTTATTATCTTACCAATAAGAATGACACAACGACCCTTTTTATAATATCTAAACAAATTGGACTTGATTAAATTGTTTTGTCATTGATATTGATTAATTTCCTTTATTAATTATAATTAAATGCACGCACATATATATATTATATATTTATAAGATCTTTCTTTACCATGATAATTGGAATTTTGTGCATTATCGTTGTTGTTGTTGCTGCTGCTGTTGTTATGATTAATAGTATGTAAAGTGTTAGACCTAGATCTAATTAATTTAAGATCTAGACTTGATGGCCGTTATTATTGTTAATAACAATGCTGTTGCCTCCGTGAAAATTTGATAACTCGGAAAAATCAATTGTCATTAACTCGGAAGATAATATCTGATGGATTAGAAGAACATTGAATCATTTCGATTTCTTAAAGAAGTAGCAGCGTTATCATTTGAAGAATTGTTATCATAATCATCATAATCATAAAGACCTCTAGGTGAAGTAAAACGGGTTTGTCTCAACATTTATTTGGTAATTGGTAGAATAGAATATATTATTCGTAAACAATCTTTTTTTTTTATTTATTGTAATAACGTACGTGATGAATGTTTGAAAAAAAAACATGAAAATTAAAGAAAAAGAAAAAGTACAATTGAAAGAAATTTACGAATTTTAAACCATTGATATTTTTTTTTTGTTAGATTTTAATTCTTAAAAAAAGTGTTGGTGACAAAATTTGATTTTCAATGTCAAATATTTATTTATTTACTTATTTTTTTCCAACAATAGGAGAATCTTCTTTACTAGCGTATTCAGTCCAACTCCCATCATAAACAGAAAGTTTTTTTGCTCCCAATTTTTCTAAAGCAACATACAATATAGATGCAGTTATACCGCTACCACAACTTAATACGATAGGTTTTTCTAGATCAATTGATTTTGACTCGATCAATTTTTTCAATGAATCATCATCCAATAATGTTCGTTTGGTTTTTGGATCAATCACTTTATCGAAAGGTAATGATATTGAATATGGCATATGTCCACTAGGTAATCCAGGTCTTGGTTCTATTTAATATAAATTTTAATTTTTTCGATCATATTTTCATTTATTATTTTTATTATTATTATTATTTTACCTGGAGCTATCCCATTAAATCTAATATAAACAAAAAATGAATAATCAATGATTTTTCAATAATAAAATTTAATTAATAATAATAAAAGTCACCTTGGTTCAGGTCTTGCATCAATTAGTTGTTCATAATTTGGTGAATCAGGTCCTTCTTTAATATTCTTTCTTATTTGTTCATAAGTTCTTATAAGGTCAGTTCTTACTTCTGGTATTTTATAAACTTTAGGCTAAAAAAATTTTATTATTATCAAATTATCAATTAAGCCATTATTTATTTATTTATTTATTTATTTGCTTATTTACTTTAAATGAAGGTAGTCCGTTATCTAATGGCTTATTTTCATCAATCCATTTTTGTAATCCACCTTCCAACAAAGACACTTTTGCATGATTAAAAACCTTTTTTTTAAAAAAAGATTTTTTTTTAATAATAATAATTATAAAATAATAATAATAATGAAATGATAATAACTTTACTTTAAGAGTCCAGTAAATTCTTGGGCTAGAAAATACTCCAATAGCATCATAACAAATTATATAATCAGTTTCAGAAATTCCCAATTTACCTTTTTTTTAAAAAAAAAAGCCCGCCAAATTTATCAAATAAATTATTCAAATAAATTTGTTTTTAAAAAGATCAAGGTATTAATTACCCATAGCTTCAGCAAATTTTTCAGCTGATGGTAACATATGTGGTAACGTCGTATCATTATCTTTAATTGTATCTATTCCAAAAAACCTTGCATTCTATAATAATGATAATAATTGATTATTACAGGAAAAAAATTTTTTTTCCCAAAATAAACTTATAAAAATTACTTTGATTCTTTTATCCAAATATTCTTTATGTGGATCTTTATTAGCATTTGGCATATACCATGATCCATCAACTGGTATAACTGTATCATCAATATTTTCAGCAAGCCAATCTGTGCTAACAGAGTCAAATGTATTTTGCGAAATTGAAAACATTTTTTTTCTAATCAAAAAACTATTTGATACTATTTGGATGTTTAGGATTAATTTATTAATATACAAAAACATTAAAATTTTCAATTTTTTAGATCTTTCATTTATTTATACCATTTTTGAATATATTAGAACTTTTAGATAATGATAATGATGTAAAATTTCTTTGGATAATGTACATTATTTAATAATTTGGAAAATTTGAAAGATGAAAGATCGTGTAACATTTTAAATTTTATCTTCATTAAAGAAAATTTCGCAAAGAAATTTTTTTTTATCTTATTTTATTAAGGACAAAAATAAAATAATAATAAATATAATTGAAAATTAATGAATATTGATGAATAAATAGAATAAATAAATAATAATGAATTATATTGTTATAATTATAAAATATACGAAAAAGAGGTGGGACAATTAATTACGAGTGTTGGGGCATTGAAAAAAAAAAAAAAATAAATCAAATTATTCTTTTTTTTTAAAAATGAAAGAAAAAAAGTTTGTTTTGTGATTTTTTTGTGTGTATAAAAAAATTTAATTTTTTTTTGTGTGTGTATATAAATTTAATTTTTTTTTGTGTATATAAAAATTTTAATTTTTTTTATGTGTATATATAAAAATGTTTTAAAAAAATCTAATTAAATATAAGAATAATTTATTCTCATTGGAGTTGAATTTATTGGTGAATTTAAAGAACTTGTTGTTGTAGCAAATGAAGATCTACCACCATTATTATTACGGTAAATATCATTTCTGCTAATATTATTGCTGCTAATATCATTTCTGCTATTATTACTTCTAAGATCGTTACTGCTAATATTATTACTTCTAATATTATTACTAAGGTTGCCATTGCCGTTATTACCACCACTACCGCCATAATGATTATGATGATACATTGTAGACAAGATCACAGGTGGAGGCAATAATAGTAAAGGAGATTCTGAATCAGTTGAAGGATCTCTCGTATGAACAGCTATTGTCTCAATTGATTCTCTTGGTGGAAGTGGATTATTTGTTGATATGGAAGAAGTAATATTATTTTCAAAACCTATTTCATATTTATTATGAACTGTCATTTCACTATTTAAAATAAAATAAAATAAAAATTAATATTTTCCTTCTTTAACTAATTTAACTAATAAATAAATCAAGATTAAATAAATTTACTAATTACCCATATGCTATTCCTGCCATTACAGCAACGTTTACTAGCATTGGAAATAAATTAGTAAATGCAGCAAATACTTTATTACTGATTAGGTTTTCATATAATTGTTTGCAGAAGATTGCAGAAGCAGCCAATATTATTCCTAAAATTATTATAGAAGAAATAAATGACATATTTATTATACGCATCTAGATTTATTATAGAAAAATAAAATTTTTTCATTAGTAAATATGTAATTTTTGGGTAAGCAATAACATTTACTATTGTTGGTAACTACCTTGCGGACACTACGTTTTAATCTTTTATGTTTAATTTCCAATTCTAATCCTGATAGACTATGAGTAGTATTACGAGAATTTTTTGATTTAATATGACTTTGATAATCATTTACACCTTCCAATAAGTGTATACCTTCACTTGCTATACTGATCAATTTACTACCATATATTATGTATCCAAATGACATCAAGAAGCAACAAATTGCAAAAACACTAAACTCAACAGATTTCAAAACGTATGCTATCACTATTGAATTTGGGTTGGTTTCCAAATAGCCGATGAAAAATGAGCATGTTGTGAGTGTAATTCCTATTGTGAATATATAACAAAAGTAGATGATAGTTGTGTTTTGAAGACTTGGTAGGTAAAGTGTTTTATATTCTGGATTTTGTCGATAGAAATGCATTCTTGGTATTGTTCTTAATATACCGGCTAAATATGTTGTTACTGATATTGAACCCAATAACCAAGAAACGGTAAATAACATTTCTCGCAATATCATATTTTTCGGAAAGTAATCATATATCAATATGAAACAATCAAGCACTCGTACTGTGTAATTATCATAAACGAAATGGAAAAGATAATTATTGTTATTAACACTTTTTAAATGGTTTTTTAGTGACAATAATAATATTTTGTTACTTACACACATGCCCCAAAATATTTGAGTGAAAAGAAATCCTTCCATTGCCAAAAACCCTTTTATACAAAATAATTTTGCCTCTGGTTTACTGTATTTACGCCATGATAATAGTCCAACTGCACATAGAAATACTATTAATGATAAATATATTGTTATATTATATATTATTTGGTAATAATTTTGGTCTACACAATTTGAAATTGTCACTGTCCATCTAAAAAAATTTTCGAAAAATGTTTATATTAATATGGGTCGTTTTACAACAGCTTAAAAAGATACCCCATTAAACTATTGTACTACATAACAAAAAATCCGCCTATATCAACTATATTAATACTTACTCGCAATTTGGTAATGGATTCTTCTTCCCTGAGGAGTCCATTATTATATTATTTATTATTTTATTATTTACAATTATATATAAAAAAAGGAATTATCAAAACCCTATATGATGATATATGGTGGAATTTCCAAAAAAATTTCTTTGGAAAATGCTCTCTTCTATATATACACACACAAAAAAATATTATTATCGATAATATCGATAAAAAAAGATGATAATTTATTAAATAATAATAGAAATTAATTGTCCAAAGAAAAAAAAAAAAACAATTTTTTGTAGCAACGCCCAATTTATATGAAATTTTTTTTTGTTACTTTTTTGAGATCCGTATATGTGCTAGTTCGTACAATGTCGTGTCTGTTGTGTTTTGTGTTTTACTATTTCTTTATGTGACGTTTTATGGACATTTATTTACTTATTTAACACATTCTTTGTGACTTAAACAATGATAATTATGGTATTATTAATATTAATAATTTCTATTATTTTTGTTTACAATAAATAAGTTTCAAAATGTACACAAGCTGGAATTGCCAAAACAATAAATAAAACAATGCTGAATAAAACTTTATGGAGATTTTATTCAAAAATAGTTTTAAAAATAGAAATTTTCTCCAAAGAATAATCCTTGTGTGAATGGATTAAAATTTATTGCGCGAAACTACAATTTTGGTATTATTGTAAAAATCATGTGACTTATACGAAACAATATTAACATTAAAGGTAAAAAATGATAATTCGTTGTAATAAGTGTCAGCCGACTATATTAATTTAATATTAATACTGGTTTTTGCCAATGATTATATCAGGGTTGGCCGCAGTCAAATCTAACACACCGGCGATAACGTGACATACCAACATAATTTTGTGAAAATGAAATTAGCCAGTTAAAAGGAATTTCGCATCTTAACACCCTTGGCACCTCTTGGCAAGGCCAATAAAAAGTTGAGTTGCAAAAAATTTATTTTTTATTTTTATTTATTAATAAAATTTTAATAACTGTCAAAATAGGAGAAAAAAAAACACAATTAATATAAATAAATAATCATTATAAAATTAAAAAAACTATAAAAATAATTACCGATAATGTTCAGGTTTAAATGGCCCATTAGGATTTATACCAAGATATTCCGATTGCGCTTGTGTAAGTTTTGTAAGTTTAACACCCAATGGTTCAAGATGAGCTAATGCAACTTCTTCATCCAATTTTTTAGGTAACATGTGAACACCAAGTGGATAAGATGTATTATCTGTCCATAAGGCAATTTGTGCCAATACTTGATTTGAAAACGAGCTACTCATAACAAAACTTGGATGTCCTGTAGCACATCCAAGGTTTACCAATCTTCCTTCTGCAAGCAAAATTATATGTCTGCCATTTGCTAAAGTATATCGGTCAACTTGTGGTTTAATGTTTACATGTTCTTTTGAATTTTTTTTAAGCCAATCCACATCAATTTCTATATCAAAATGTCCAATACTTTTTATAATCAAAAAAAAAAAGAGAAAGATTTAGTAAAAAATGATAAATATAATATTTTAATATCTTAATTGACAAATAAAAAAATAATAATTTTGTGAATAAAATCAACTGATACTTACTTACTTACAATAGCATCCTCTTTCATTTGTTCAAAATGTCTACCAACAATAATATCACGATTACCAGTTGTTGTTACAAAAATATTACCTTTTGAGCAAGCTTCATCCATAGTTGTAACCTCAAAACCTATAATGTGATGTTGCATTTTTAATTTAAATTTTTTATATAGTATAATATAATATCAATGTAATATTTTATCTACCTTCCATAACTGCTTGTAAAGCATTAATAGGATCAATTTCTGTAATGATCACACGAGCTCCCATTCCTCTAAGTGATGCTGAACAACCTTTGCCAACATCACCATAACCTGCTACAACTGCTACTTTACCAGCAATTTGTACATCTGTTGCTCTTTTAATACCATCAACGAGTGATTCACGACAACCATAAAGGTTATCAAATTTGGATTTTGTAACTGAATCATTGACATTAATTGCTGGAACTTTCAATTGTCCATCTTTAAGCATTTTGTAAAGATTATGAACACCAGTTGTTGTTTCTTCGGAAACACCCTTAATATCTAATAATTAATTAATAATAATCATCATCATCTTAATAATTCTTTTTATTGATATAATTAGTTATCGTTATAAAAAAAAATTTTCTTACCTTTCAAGTATTGTGGAAATTTAGTATGAACCAAATTGGTTAAATCACCACCATCATCAAGAATCATATTAAGAGGTTTACCATCCTTGAAACTACAAAGAGTTTGTTCAATGCACCAAATATATTCTTCTTCAGTTTCGCCTTTCCATGCATAAACAGGCACGCCAGTGACTGCAATGGCGGCGGCGGCTTGATCTTGTGTGGAAAAAATGTTGCAAGAACTCCAAGCTACTTCAGCTCCAAGTTCAGTAAGTGTTTCAATTAAAACCGCAGTTTGAATTGTCATATGAAGACACCCTGCTATACGTGCACCCTTTAAAGGTTTAGAAGGTCCATATTTTTTACGTAAATGCATAAGTCCAGGCATTTCATTTTCTGCTATATAAATTTCTTTACGACCCCAACTAGCGAGGGAAACATCAGCTAATTCATAAAATCATATACAATGATTCATTATTCAAATTAAAATATTATGATTTAAAAATCATTACTATTATCTTATTTTTCACTCACCAACTTTATAACTCATGATAATAAAAATTAATTAATTATTATAATAAATATTAAATAATTCTAATTTATTCAATTTATTTTTTATTTTTTTATAAGAAAAAATTTTTTTATTAAAACGGTAGCACAACTTAAACGAAAAAAATTTTTTATCATTGATTGATTGCATCTAATTTTCAAATTTTTTTGATATTGAAGTGCCTTTTACAGTCTAGTTTAAACACAATTTTTAATAAATTTTAAATATTATATTTAAATAATAAATAAATAATAAATAAAATAAAATAACACCTCATCTTTAATAACTCCATATAATCTTTGTTGTGATGCTGGTATTCCAAATGATTTTTGAAATATATTTTTTAAATTTCTCAAAGTTAAAGTTCCTAATAAGATTATAAAACTTAAATTGAATTAGAAATCATTATCTCTATTCACAATAATTATTATCCATATTTATAAAAAAAAATACCTAAAAGTTTTTTTGATATTATTTTAATTGGCTCTTCATCAAGAGATTTTCTATGGGTAATAGTCAAAGCTATAAAAAAAATTTTTTTATGATCAAAATATTTTGATCCGTGAATTGTAATTAATTAATTAGTGATTAGCGATAATGACAATAATAATGATAATGATTAATCTATCTTTCAACATGCTACTAGTTGCTTTTAAACTTCTATCATCAAAAGTAGGTTCACCATGAATTTCACATAATTCTTTAAATCTAGGATGGTGTTTCTCTATTTCATCAGGCGATTTCAAATCCTTGATGCATAATCTCAAATAATATCTTTCAGTATCAATTCTATCATTAGATGATATCTATACATAAGATTTAATGTTTAGCAAATTGAAAAGATATTTTAATAATGATTAATGATTATAATTACCAGACTTCCATCCATCATTTTTAATTCTTTAATTCTACCAACAATTAGAATATATGCTTCATCGGCTTTTATATCTATATTATAGATACAAAAATAAGTGCTATTGATTTGTAAGGTGATTAAAATATAATCATAAAAATAATCAATATGTTAAAATTCATTAAATTCATTACTATCAAAAAATGGATTTTTTTAATTCTTAACTCTTCTAATGAAGGAAACCTATTAAGTTCATTAACATTTTGCCAATCATTGATTTTATTTTCACTAACATTTAAATATTTTAATTTTGGAAACTCTTGATTATCAACTCCTTTAGGATAATAAATATTGTTTATTAAATTATTACTAATAAAAAGCATTTCCAACCTATAATGATAAAAGGTAAATAATTATATATATATATAAATAGATAATAATAATTAATTAGTTACTGTGGTAATCCTGAAAATCTAGCAATTTCATCCCAACTATCAATAATATTAGATTCAAGATTTAGTGTTTTTAATTTGGAAAACCCTTTTATCTTGCTTTTTTTTATCTGGTTTTCCTTTTCACCATCAATATCTCCAAAATTTTTAATATAGTTAAAACCTAATTGTAAATTTTCCAAATTCAAAAGACATGTTCAAGTAGTTCAATCTATAAAGAAGAAAAATCATAAGAATTTCGAGTATAATTTGTATTTTAATTGATTAGTTAATTAGTATGAAATAAAACCTGTTCCCATTCAATCCTAGTATAATTCAAAGATAAATTTTTTAAATTTGTAAATGAAATTTTAAAATCAGGAACCACTTTTAACCCTTGAAATCTATTGTAACTAAAATCAAATAAAAAAAATTAGTCAAATTATTAATGAAATTGATTGATAGGAGAAGATAAGCAAGCTTACTTTAATCTTAAAACCTGCAGTTTTTTTAATTGTTCACAAATTCAAGCAACAGTTTCCCAATCAGATATTAGATTTTTTGACAAATTCAAGTCAATTATATCTAAAGAACTTTATACTTAATTACCAATATTAAATTATTTCATTTGTTTGTAAAGTTTTTCAATATATATATATTACTTGGACAAGTTGTTTCGATTTCTCCAGGCTTTCCTGCATTTGAAATTCGTTCAAAAGATAAACCTACTTCTGTCAATCTATCCAATTGCCTATAATTAATAATATATATAGTATATATGTAAGTAGTTTGTTAATAAATAGAATTATTGTTCACTATTATTAGTAATTAAATTAAAATTATTTAATTATTAAACCTTTGTTTTCTACAAATCTTTTCCCATCCTATAGCCTCAACCTCTATTTTTGTATTACCAGCCCAATAAATTGTATCCAAATCTTTTTGTGCATCATATGATTCATCATCATCACCACCATTATTACTATTACTGCCATTATCATTAGAATCTTTTTTAACCATTGATGATGATGATGATGATGATGATAAGTCTAAGTCATGTATTTTAAAATCATGGTTGAAAGAAAACTACAACCAAAATGTATTTTTGGAGAAGGCCTAATAAAAGATCCACTATTTGGAACACTGTTTTATTAAAATAATCAATCAATCAATCAATCAATTAATGTAATTGTTTTTTCTCTCTCCAATACATACAAGCAATAATAACCATGTAGTATAACTAACCTACATGTGAAATATCTTACACCATCATGTAAACCATCATGTTTTCCTCTTGAAATATTGTCCCATTCAACACCATACCATATACCTTTTGTAGGTGGGACAGGGCAAACATAATGAATTGTTGCTAATTGATCCTCAAATTGAATTCTTTTGTTTATAACATCCCTTGGAATATCATCATATTTTTGCTCATCACTAGACATTTTTTCAATGTAACAATAAAATTTTAAATCATTGCTACTAATTCTGTTATCTCACTCGCAGATCAAAACATATTGGGACTTGTAATACAGTGCAGATCGACTATAAAAAAATTCCAACTACAGTCAACCCTCCATAAGTCAGTGGGGGTATTTGATATAAGTTGATCAACAAAACTAATTAATGTCATAATGTAAATACATATATGGGGTTTGTACTAGGGAAATCAAGCTTCCAGCTATTTTTTTTTTTTTGTCTTTTTACTCAACAATAATCTCTAATAAAGGATTTACAGTTGGTGAAAAAATTGGACCCTGTTTGCAGGGACACCGGAAAAGTACAGGGTACAGGAAATTTTTGTTGATCCCTGTATATACCCTGTACTTTTCAAGATTTACTCACTAAACCTAGAAAGGTACAGGTAAGTGGTACAGGTGACATGCAAAAAATCTGAAAAGGTACAGGGTACAGGTATGGCGCAGATATGGAACAGGTGACCTGTACCTTATACCTTTCGAGGTTCGCTCAATGAACCTTGAAAAGTACAGGGTACAGGAATTTTTGTTGATCCCTGTAACATAGTGGGCTTTATCCGTGATTGGTTGATCCATAAAGAAATTGATTGGATAATTTTATAATATGCCGATCATTATTAAAACTTTTTAATATTGCTTTCAAGACAATAAAATAAATATATTCTTAACAATATTTTTTATTTGTAATTGGTGGTAAATAATTCAGCAAAAACATTAGGTGAAAACTCTTACTATAATTACTATGTAATAAAGTACACCTATGGTTTGAAACAGCATATCCTATAACATCAAAAACCAACAAATGTATCATTTACTCACTACTTGATATATTAAATTATTACATAGTTCTTATCTAATGAATGAAAGATATTGAATAT